GCTTTCCCTACAAATGATGTACCTGGGAATTTAGAAAACAAAGATGTCAGTATCCTCAAATCCAAACAACAGGAGGAATTTGGAAGAAAAGGTACCGTTTTAAATACTTTTATTCCGTTAAAATCCTATGTATACACAACTATGATAAAAATGTAACTAACTAGATTTCAAAAATAACTAAGTCACGATGCGGTGGTGCAGCTCCTGATTGTTGGAATTAATCTCATTTCATTATAATAAACAGTGTATTAATCTAATTTTCTTTCACAGAAAGATTGTTAATCCCAGATGTTCCAGGAGCAGTTGTTGCTTTCTACGCGTACATGTCTTCTGATCTACCCAGTAATGTAGCAACTCCTCATCACGTGCTTATTTTTGACCACGTGAGAACTAATATTGGTAACGGGTATCATCCTTCCACTGGGGTATTTATAGCACCCGAGACAGGGGGTCTACGTATTTATATGGACTTTTAGAAATGCCGATGGTGGAGCTCACTCTACACAGCTCATAATAAATTCAAAAGAGTGGGGGAAAAATAAAAAGGTCGCACTCCTTCACACGATAGCCTCCAGTCCACGGGTTGTGTGGTGGCCCATGTAAATAAGGGCGATGACGTCTTTGTGAAAACGTCAGATTCTAGCTCGGGATATATTATATTTATAGCAATAGTTTTGGTAAAACCTCATTCTCTGGATGGAAAATTGCTTGAAGGCAGAACTAGATAGTTTTGTTTTCATGAGAAAGATCCATGTTTGGTGTTAATTTCCCTGGCATTTAAGATTAAAAATTGCATAATAATTTTTCAAGAAACAGGATTCAGTTCTTTCTGGTATGGGTGTATAAATAACCTTTTTTAATGTTATATTTCGATAATGGATATTCATAGTATCAGTTATCGAAATAATTTTCAAAAAGCTAATTTATAAATTCGGGGCTCTTATTATTTATTTTAGTTTTTAAGGTGCTGGGGGACAGTTAAGGCTGTTACGTCCTTAGGCTATCAATTTTATAATACTGAAAAGCATCAATTTGTCAAATAAATTTTATGTATAACAATTGTAATTTTTTCCTCGATTTTCTGTGTCTTAATTACAGGAATGTCTTAAATATGTACTCATTCAAACGCAAAACACACCTTGTTTATGCAATATTTATTTATCAGACTTTTACATAAGAAAAGCAGGGAAAAGATTCTGAAAGTCATGCTTTCCTTACCAATAAAAAAGTGCAAAGCGTTAAACAAAATTCATATTTCAAAGCAACTTTATTGTGAATATAATATCTATATCTATTATCTTTACAAAGTACAGGTGTAATTTCCCCTAGATTCCTAAACGTATATACTAATTCTGAATAATGCTTGAGATAAACAGAGAGAGAGAGAGAGAGAGAGAGAGAGAGAGAGAGAGAGAGATGTATATTTTTCATAATACTAGTACATTTGAAATAATATTCAAACGTGAAAATTTTAAATGATCACCAAGATATAATTATATAAATCCTGTATAAGACTTGGCATATTACAGAAATATCTGTATATACATTAAACAAAGTCTCTGCAGATTATACTTTTAAAAAAGCGCATTAAAGTAAAAAAAAAAGCAGTAAATAATCAGAATAAAACGGAAGAGATTTTTGTTTACAGATCAATCATTATACATGTACGTAACAGCAGATACTTTAGCGGGGATTACATTTTGGCATTTTAGTGAAGGTGTTAAGATTGAACGAATATCGCTAACAATTCATTACAATAAAAGATAGGGCTTTTATCTTTTTACGAATTACACATTTGCCAAAGTTCGCTAAATTAATTACTGATTAATCAGCAAAAATTACTTACATGTATGTGTATAATATTCTGTATTTATATAAATATGTTCTGATTTATTCTTATCCTTTAGAGCAAGACAATGTTTTTTTCTTCAAATGTGTAATGGTTTTGAAAGGTATGTCCTTGCAAGAAAATTATATCGTGTCTTGGAAAAGGAGATTAAGTTTTAAATTTTGCCAAATTACTTTTATTACATGAACGGTAAGCCTTCAGTAGTGGAAGGTGTACAGTGTAGAACGTTTAACACTCGGTGTAAAGTCACTCGACAGAGACGTGCATTTAGTTCATTATACATGCATGAAGAGTGTTTGAGATAACATTGCAAGAAAAATCATTTCTATTCGTTCAAATTGAAAATTTACAATCTATCGCAGAAAATCACACTTTCAATGTGTATGAGGCTATAAATATTATAGTACTTGATAATTTACGCAACCACTTAATATAACCTTGTGTTCCGTTTTACCTATAACCCTCACAATCACCTTAAACTAAACAGTCCTTTGCATAAAACTTCGAACCCTAATTTTGTCTGCACTATATATCAATGTATATAAACACTTATGTAGATTAATAGGATTATGAAAAATTCTTCCAACTGTGCGTTACTTAAAATTTTTATTTTGCACACTAACCCTAATTCCCATTTCCATAGTTCATGTCACTTTATTGTGTGCGGAATATGTTTGTAGTGAGTGATTATTTCTAATTTATAACCTATCAGAAAGGAAAACCATGAGAACTTGAACACTTGTGCATAAAGGTGAAAGTGTCCAAATTGATTAGGAAATATAGATATTTATTATATGATTGAATAATTTCCATCTCTCTGATTGGCTGAGATCCAACTATGTTAGAAAAATACTACGTTGTATTGACCTGCACGTGACGTTCCAGGTCAATACAAGGATTTATTTCCTCTACTTTGATCTAAAAATAGATCGGAATCTTCGAAATTGATACAAATTGATTTGGAAAGCTATTTAAACTACTATGACTTTTTGTTCATGTGAAGAAAACATAAGCAAATATATATTTTCGGGTGAGGGTGGTAAGAGGGGACACTACTTCAACACTTTTATTGAACAACAATTTTTACTTTTTGGCAGTCGGTTTTCCCTGATAATACTTCTTCCTTTAAAAATCTATCCTAGAAAAAAGACTGACATAATTCATTGCAACTAAAATTGATTTTAAAAAATAAATAAATACGACCTATAAGATTGATTAACATTTTAATTCTGCTTCTCTTATAATTGTATTTGGATAGGACTTAATAAAATGCAAACAAGTGATGGATTTTATCATTTTATTAGTGAATCATATAATAAAACAATTATTGCTGGTTTTTCGGTTAATACAATGATTTAGCCATCTTCGAAGTGCAATATTCACCTCGCCCTCCGGGCTCGGTGAATATTGTACTCCTCAGATGACTAAATCATTGTATTGACCTAAAAACACAGCAATAATTGCATAATATCTCATTCATAAAAATGCATGTTTGAATTTGGCTTTGATGTTCTAATTGAGACAGATTTATCAATTAGAAATAAAAGATTATCATTAAGGTCATTCGACCCTCATATAATGTCATAGGTTCTTAAAAATCTTTGACCCCCCCCCCCCATTTATCTTTTATTTTCGAATACCCTTTCGGGAAGCGTTTTCAAATGGCGCATTTTTATTGCTAAATATATTCCATGAAGCCATAGTGAAATCTTAATTGTGTAACCTGTTACAAAAAATGTTGTGTATTTAATATATATACCGGATAGTTCGGCAATTACTTTGAAGTCTCTTGCTGTGGCTTGATATTGAATATTTAGATATGTCGACGACGTCTTATTAATCTCAAATATTTAACATTATTCTGAACTTGATTAGATACAGCCATTTGATCCTCAAAATAGAAAAATACAAACGGGTCTAACAAATACTAGTATGTTTCATACCTGGATATTTTATCAGAAAAAGGCGTTAGTAGAAACAAAACTATATACATGAAGTTATAATTCTACATGTACGTTTGTAATATATTTGAGTAACAATTTCTTGATTGATGTGAAGATAGATTCCGGAAAATAGATTTGGTATTAAATTTTTTTTCATGGAAAAATTACATCTATGTATCGACACAGATTTTTTTTTTATCGTACATGTAAGTCGGGAGAGGGCAAACAAACATTATTTTAAAGTTGTACTGAGTTTCAAATTAATAATTTTACTCCTAATAACAATTTATGTTTTAATTTGATTTTAAAATTGTTGTTTTATGTAATGATGTAAGAGTAGCGTAATATAATGTACACTATTAGAGAATGTTGATTTTCTCCCATTGTTTAAAATTTCAAGCCATCAAAGTAAGCAAAGACATTGACATATGCACGCGTCTTTCTTTACCAAGTGACCTACCTCGATGGTATAAAATAATCGCTCAATCAGATTAGAAGATTTGGGGGCTAAATCACCAAAGAAAATTTACAACTTCTTTCCTTTCCATTTCTGATTTGCTTAGGATCGGAATTAAATCAGATTTACCAAGACATTTTTCAAGAAGATCCAGTCTTCGATATTTTGAATCTTTCGGACGGACAGACAGTTACAACCCAACAGCTAAAAACTATTCTTACGGCTTTTCATAAGGACTATGTGACACGAATTTCAAAACTCCAGAATGATTTTAAAATAACTCTCCGATATCAGGAAAACCGCATTCAAAGCCTAGAGAAGAAAACAGTCGAACAAGAGAAAATAATTTCCACTTTGCAGCATGATTTTCCTGCAGATAGTTCTAAACCAGAGCCGTCAGACGGTCATATGCTTTTGAAAGAAGAAAGCGTGAATAGCAGTGGTGTTCTAAATGGAAAAATTATCGTGACTGATGCATTCCCTATAAATGATGAACTTGATGATTTAGAAAATAAAAAGTCGCCGAGTATCAAATCCAGAAGACATAACGCATATGGAAGAAGAGGTACCAGTTTAAGACATATTTGTTCATTAAGAATTAATTTTTATAAACAAATACGTGATCAGAGTGTAAAAAGTAGGTTTTAGAATTAAATAACTTCTGATGTTTCATTTATCTGGTTGATTAGATATATCTAGTTTTGTTGAAATGAACGATATAGAAATGTTATTATTTTTCGCAGAAAGATTGCTAATCCCGGAAGTACCAGGTGCAATGGTTGCCTTCTACGCGTACATGTCTGCCAACCTCCCTGCCAATGTAGCAACTCCTCATCACGTGCTTATTTTTGACCACGTGAGAACTAAAATTGGTAACGGGTATCATCCTTCCATCGGGGTATTTATAGCTCCAGAGGCAGGGGTGTATATATTCATATGGACTTTTAGAAATGGCAATGGTGGAATTCACTCCACGCAGCTAATGATAAATTCAGAGGAGTGGGGAATGACTCACAGTCATACTCTTACAAACAATTTCCCCCAGTCCACGGGTTGTGTGGTGGCCCATGTAAATAAGGGAGATGACGTTTTTGTAAAAACTTCAGATTCTAGCTCGGGAAATATCTATAGCGATAGTTATGGTAAAACCTCATTCTCTGGATGGAAAATTAATTAAAAGTAAAGCTAGAATTTTTTTTCCTAAGAAAGATACACATTTGTTGTCAATTTCTCTGACGTTAAAGAATGAAAATTGCATGACAATTTTTCAAGAAATAGGATTTGTTACTTTCTGGCATGGGTGTATTAATTTACCTATCAATGCTTTATTTCAATAATGAATATTTATCATCTCTGTGAACTCAATAAATTCAAACGTGCTATCTTGTAAAGATGAAGGGCTCTTTTTTTTTCAGGTATTGGATGTAAGTTTTACGCTGCTTTGTCGTATCAGTTTTATAGTACTGAAACGCGTCGTTTTGTAAAAAATTACTTTGTGTATGTACATGTATACCAATGGATAGTTTTCAGTAGACCCAAATAAACAAGAGTTATTTCCCATTGGACGCCATTTTGGTGGTCAACCTGGTAATTTTCCCTCTTTGTCCTACCAAATATAAGAGAGTGTAGCAGAAATATTTGAGGGAAAATCTTTTTGGAATAAAAATTATGAAATAAAGGAGGCTCTAACAAATGTATATTTTTAAGAAAAACAATGCTTCCCACACCACAATTGCCAGTATAAAAAGTTATAGTTGGTTGAAAAATGAAGGAATATGAGCATGTTGACCCCCAATATGGCGGCCAACGGGAAATAACTCTTGTTAATTTAGGTCTACTGAAAACTACCTATAATTTAATTTTTAAATTTCTGTGTCTATATTACAGCAAAGTAATTAATATGTACTCATTCAAGCGCAAGACACATCTTATATGTGAAATATAGGTAGTTTGATTGTGCTATATATCAGACTCCCTATGTAAGAAAATCAACAAAAAAGATTTTGAAAAATCAAGCTTTCCTACAGAAACCCGTAAAGGCTAGTCAGAGAAACAAGTATTTTTACATTTAACAGGTCGAGACCACTAGATTTTCTGACATCAGCATAAATTTGCATGTAAATTAGCTCTCTGTTTACTTTACCTACTGCTGTTTACATTACCTACTGCTGAATGAACTGCAATGCATTGTGGGCCACTACAAGTACCCAGCTGTGTTGAAAATGAAGGACAACTTGAATTGTCCCTTGGAAACTTATTTGTGAAAGAAATATTTAAAATGATGTATAATCTTTCATTTCTATGCTCACATTTACAAAATTTGCTTTATGAAGCCTTATATCAACTTATGATACATCGGCCTAGTCAACCATTGTTCAAAGAGACGTGGGTGCTATCGTGTCGTTAAAACACTGAGTTTTTTTTCACGTGATATACGTGTACATAGTTTTAGCAGGTAGTTATGGCACGCCAAATTCACAAAAATGAGCTAATCAGTTTCACAATCGATAAACTCATTCAAATCTGTTTCACAAACAAAACATCAAGCTCCTATGACCAATAACCAAATTCATACTTCACAAATACAAAAAGATTCAAGATTTGGATTGATTAAGAAAGGTTTACGTTTCGGAAATTTAAATATTTGTCATATTATTCCTAAAATAGATGAAATTAAACTGTTGCTTCAAACACGGCAATCTTTAGATATTTTAGGATTGTGTGAAACTTTTTTGAGTGAGCAAGTAGGAAATTCAGAACTGTTTATTGATGGGTTTGTTTTTGAAAGAAAAGACCGTACATTAAGGGCAGGTGGTGGAATTCTTATTTATATTTCAAGTGATATCACATATAAACGTAGGACTGATTTTGAGATCAGTAATATTGAGACAATCTGGCTAGAAATTAATCTAAAAAATTCTAAACCTATATTTTATTGCTCTGCTTATCGTCCACCATCTGCCCCCTCCTGCTGGGCGGAGGACCTAGCAAAGGAGGTGAACCGTGCCTCCTGCTGTGACGATACTGAAATTATTCTATCAGGTGATTTTAATATTGATCTAATGAAAGACCCCCCACAATATTGGACATCTGCTTTAGAAGAGTTTGGACTTTCTCAGATAGTTACTGTTCCTACTAGAATAACAAGTACCTCAAGTACCTTAATTGATCATTTTTATACAACTAAACCAGAAAACATATGTGAAACAAATGTGCCCCCTATTGCTATTTCTGACCACTACCCTGTATGTTTGACACGGAAAACTAATTGTATACAGCGTAGAGGAAAACATACTGAAATCCAATATCGAGATTTTAAACAATTCAACGAAAACGAGTTTTTGAGAGAGTTAGAAAATGCAAATTTTAACACTCTTCTTAAACTTAAAGACCCAAACGAAATAATGAATAAATTTTATGAATTGTTTAATGATATTCTTAACAGGCATGCCAAAGTAAAAACAAAAAGAGTCAAGACTGAAATTCGACCTAAATGGCTAACACAGGAAATAAATGATGCCAGACATTTACGCGATACATATCATTTACAAAGGAATTCAGAAAATTACAAAATTTGGAGAAATAAAGTTACACAATTAATAGATCAAGCAAAATCAAAGTATTACAAATCTGCAATTGAAGAAAGCTCAAGTCCTAAAGAAATGTGGAGTTATTTAAACCATTTGGCATCTAAATCCAAAACTTTTACACCTAGCCGTATTACACAAAATGGTTTAGATTTTGAAGATTTACAGGATATTGTTGATATTTTTAACAAACACTTTACGGAAATATCCTGTAAATTATTAGCAGATATGTCAGTACAAAGTTTTGATTCAGAATTATTAAATCGGTATACAGAAACTAAACTAGGGAAAGAAAATGTTTTCAGTATTTAATGAAATAACTGAATTTGAAGTATTGAATATGTTGAATACACTTGATGTAAATAAATCAGCCGGTATAGACTTTATCGGACCTCGTCTTCTAAAACTTTCGGCAAATGTCATATGCAAATCTATTACACATCTTATAAATGCTAGTATCACTAATGGAGTATTTCCATCCAGTTTAAAACAAGCAAAAGTCACTCCTATTTTCAAAAATGGCGACCACGCAGATCCAGGGAACTACAGACCGATATCCATTCTTCCAACATTATCAAAATTAGTTGAAAAACACATAGCAAATCAAATACGTAACTTTGCCTCTAACTTTGATCTTTTATTTAAATCACAATCTGGATTTCGAGAATTTCATTCATGTCAAACGGCTCTTACAAAACTTACAGATAATTGGCTACAAGCTATGGACCAAGGAAATCTAGAGGCATAACTTTCATCGATTTTAGCAAGGCATTTGATTTGGTTAATCATGATATTCTGATAAGTAAACTTCAATCATATCACTTTGACCAAAGGGCTATTAAATGGTTTCAATCTTATTTAACCTCAAGGTCTCAGTGTGTAAAAATAGGAACATATTCCTCTGATTTTTTGCCCGTCACAGCAGGAGTGCCCCAAGGTTCTATCTTAGGTCCCCTATTATTTTTATTGTATATAAATGATCTCCCTTTACATGTAAATAGAACAGATATTGATATGTTTGCCGATGATGCAACCTTGCATACATATCATAAAAATATAGAAGGTATTGAGAATGCCCTTAACTTTGATTTGTGTGAGATTGAAAATTGGTGTTCCAAAATCAAATGGTGTTAAATACCAATAAGACAAAATGTATGCTTATGGAACTCAGCAGCAGAAAATCAAGAATAGATTCACCTGAACTAAATTTATATGCTTCAAACAAATTAATTGAAAATGTTGAATCTGAAAAACTTCTGGGAGTGCATATTGATGGTTCATTGCGCTATAATCACCATATTGACTCAGTTTGTAAATCTTTGACATATAAATTATATACGTTGCGCAAAATTAAAAAATTCCTCCCCTTACACACAAGAAAACTATTCTATAATGCATACATTCTGCCCTCTTTGAATTATTGCCTAACTATTTGGGTAATGCGCCAGGTGCTGGCATAGATAGAGTTTTTAAATTGCAAAAAAGGGCAGCCCGTATTATACTAGATGTGGCTTATGATGCCCCTTCACTACCATTATTCGAAAAACTTGGATGGCTGACTATTTACGAGTTGATTGATTTTCATAAATATATATTACTGTACAAAACACTTCATGGTATGGCACCTACTTATTTAAGAGACTCTTTTGAATTTATTTCTTCTAGTAGTTATGCTCTACGATCTGAAACAAACTATGACCTTCATCTACCGAAATATCGAACAAATCAATTTAAAAATTCTTTTCATTATTCCGGTGTTCATTTATGGAACAAACTACCTTTGTACATACGTTTTTCACAGAATTTACACACATTTCGTAAAAATGTAGAAAAATTCATAATAACATGCCGCAACTAAAATCTCCTGAAATCTATATGTACTTGTATTTTTACGTCATGTTGTATTATTTATTATTGTACAATGATTTCATTATTGTATTATTGTGAACAGCTTAGAGGGCCCCCAGGAAGACTAGTGCATTGCACTAATCGGGTCACCCTCTTAAAATAAAGTATTATTATTATATTATTATTATTATTATTATTATTATCGGTTGTAAACTATAGTTTACGGACTGTAAACTATAGTAAACAACGTTAATCTATATTTAACATCTGTAAAGCATAGTTAACGCGATAATCTATGTTTCACAACCGTAAACTATACTTAACACCGAAAACAATAATTTGCGATCGCAAAACATAGATTATCTGATAAATACAGTTTCACGATTTGTGCACTATGGTTTACAACTCTTAACTATAGTTAACGATCGTAAATTATAGTTTACAGACGTCAATCTATGTTTATCAACAAAATCTATTGTTAACGTTTTAGTACAGACAGATAAACATAGATCATCATTCTTAAACTATAGTTAACAACCGTTAAATATAGTTTCACAGATGAAAACTATAGTTAACGAATTGTTAACTATAGTTCACGGTTTGTAAACTATAGGTTTATCTCATTTTTGTGAATTTGGCGTGCCATAGGTAACTATATAGGTCCTTGGTTTTAGACAACAGGAGAAGGTGTGCAATTATTATTTAACCCCTCAGTATTATCAGAAAGTGTTTTATGTGCATG